ATCTCGGACCCACTTACAAATCGGACTGCTATGAGGTTTTGTATTTATGTGGTATCATCTATGTAAGCCAGACCCGCCGATTCATACATAAGAGCTCATCTAATCATAGAATAGGACACCAGATGGACTCTTCCAATGCCAACCGCTTAGCTTGATTTGGGGCAAGCGGAAGCTTATGAAATCTACAGAACTCAACAAAACGGCCACCACTCTGAAGAGAAAGAATGTGTGTAGGAAATCAGGCGGAAACTATCTGTGACTGTTGGGAAGGATTAAAGAGAGAAAGGTAACAAGGAGTACCGCCGAGCAAGAGGATGAGGCTTGATTAGGCTCGAATCGAGTTTTCATTCTCAAACCCCATGCGTATCACGAGCAATGCATGCACACAACACACGTGCAATAGAACGCAATCGCATGTGGCACCATTGCAGGATCAAACAAAAAATAAGAGTTTATTCTGTCACAATTGCATCCGTTTCACGCTTCATCGCAGCCATTTCACATGTCATCCGCAGCAACTTCACTTTTCAACAGCACGTGGGAAAAGCATAGGATCTCCAACCAAATCATGAGCTATCTCACTAACTGGACATAGACTATAAAAAGTATTTCGTCTACTACTAGTAAATCCGATAAATGAGCTACAAAAGGGCACACATTTGGATGATTGGAAGGTAAACAAGTGAGAAGTTGTGATAGGGCGGCAGTGGGATAAGAGGGTAAAGAGTAGATAGATAGACAATTACAGAAAGAGGAGTGATAGTGTAACCGTTCTCAGCAGAACGGTTGTCGAGGCAGTGACTTCACTTGTCTATTTGACGAGTTCGTAGCTTGGTGCGGCGAATGGCAAAGCTCACTGATGATGCCGGCAAAACGTTTGAGAATGTATCAAGTCCACTGTCTGATGCTGGGAATCATGACAACTACTATGGCCGACGACTTCGGAATAGGTGCGTTCGAATAAGTCGCCCTGACAACGAGGTCAACCCACTTCTATAAATCGAAAGGAGACTGCGACCATACCAGAGGCCACAACATCTTGGTCTTTATAACTTTAATTGAGCTGTGTTTACCCTATTTCGTTTTAACGTGATCAAGGACCGGTAGTTGACTCATCACCTTAACAAGAAATAAGGTAAATACCATTCCTTAATCACATTTGCTGCTAGCCCCGATAGCCCATTTAAAGCGAACCATAAGTAATGTTGTCGATTGCTACAACAAATATAAGTTTTCTTGATCTCCAATCCAGCCATAGAATGTTATATGGGAAAATGCTGGACTTCCTTAAAATTTCCATCTCCCGCTGGGGGTGATGATGATACCACTTCAGGCGAAGTCGAAACTGCCGTCCACTTTAGCCTCGATGGGCGATGCTTTTTTGGAAATCAAGGCTATGCTAACTTTACTGGCAACGTAAGGTATACTCATTTGATTGTTGAAAAATGTATCTACCATTTTCTTTGTCACCATAACCCAATTATGGTCATCCTCTACGACTGCATCATCTCGAGGTTCAGATGCCGCCGATCGGCGTGACTACGCGTTAGCAGAAGACGCAGGCAACTGTGGATGGGCTCGTTCTGAGAGTTGTGAGCACGCAAATCGGCTGCAACAGGAGGCCGGCTCTTTCGAGGCTGTGGTCTGTTGTGTACAGCGCGTTTATCGACCGGCAAGCCGCCGGGTCCCGTTTGAGAGGGTCGGGCCGAGGTCGCGAGAGGCAGTGGCGACTTCGTGAATGCAGAGGACAGATTGAGCCAGTCGAGCCGGCGACATGAGCAATGCGAAGGAGAGTATTTTCGCCAAAATCGACGCTTTTATGGCCGACGAGTTCACGTCGAACTCGAACTTCGGCTTCAAGATGGTGGGCCATCTGCGGCCGGCCACGGCGAAACCGGCCAAAGCGGGGCCGGGCATAGACACGCTGGCCGAGGTGCTGATGGCGGAGAGGAGGAAGCAGAAGCCGGACCGGCAGTACCGAACCTATGAAGAACTGCAGAAGGCGATAGAAACGCGCATCAGAAACAAGGACTACTTCGACTTGGTGACGCGGGAGAAGGTGAAGCGCACCGGCCTGATGGAGCGGGCGGAGCGTGAGCGAATCCTCCTCTTGACCGAGACTTTCTCGTCAGTCGAGTCGGACGAAGAGGACCAAGAGTTGCTGCGACTCGACTTCACCGAGTCCATTCTCTTCAGTCAGACCAACCAGTTTCCCGGACAGACCTATTGGTACATTGTCAAACTGTTGCACTATCTGCGAATTTGCAACTCCAACGGCAGCCTCATCTGTCTGTTGGCGTTGCAACACTTTCTGCCGAAGACCAACGAAATCGTGCAAGCCTTCGAGGACTCCAAAGGTGTCAGTCTACTGCTCAACCTTCTTTCGGCCGACGAGTTTCCCATTCGCATCGCCTCCATGATTGTCCTCTTCAATCTCACCCGAGCCGCCTATTTCATTCGAGTCATCACATTCTTCGACTCCATCCCCAGTCTGGTCGGCAATCTGCGCGAGAACGAGCCCGAGATACGTCGTTACGCCTGCCTGATTTTGGCCAATCTCTGCCTCTTTCACGAGGCCCGACGGAAACTGCGTGAGCACTGGGGCCTGCACATGTTGCTATGCCTTTTGGACGAGTTGACCGGGCAAGTGGTCGCCAACGCCGAGTCAGAGAAGACTCGCGTCAAGAATTGGGCCATCTCGAGGACCAACAGCAGTCAACAGAACGGCATTCACGCCCATTGGAGGTGCCCCAGTGACGCCAAAGAGGCCTCGGA